AAGTGTACAACATGGGTGCATTTACATATATGCAGCCAAAACACTCATACACATAAAATAAAAATAATAAACAAAACATTTTTTAAAATAAAAAGCACATTAATTTATGTGTGTATGTGATACATGCACATGTGTTATGCTGTGCATATGGAAGTCAGAGGACAACTTGCGAGAGTCAGTTCTCTCCTTCCACCATGTGAGTCCCAGGGATCAAATAGCTCATCATGTGTGGTAACAAGCACCTTCAACCATCTCACCAGTCTCCCACCCAAGAATAAATTTATCACGGAAATGAATGTTCTCTATAATGAAACATACAATATCAATGAAAGAACTCAAAGAGGACACTAAAAACTAAAAGATCAATTTTATAGATTGTAAGAATTAATATTGTTAGAATGTCAGACTGGTGAGATGGCTCAGTCAGTAACATATTTGCCGTGCAAGCAGGAGGACAGGAGTTCAGATCTCCAGCACCCATTTTAAAAAGCCAAGTATCATGGTGCATACCTGTAATGCCAGAGCTGGGAAGGCAGAGACAGGAAGATCCCTGGGGCTTGGTGGTTAACCAATCTAGCCAATCAGCAAGCTCCACATTCAGTGAAAGATCTTGTTTCAAGAAATAAGGTGGGGAACAACTGAGGAAGACACCCGACATCCCAACATCAATCTTTGGCCGCCATGTTTAGGTGCACGTATGTACATGTGTACTCACTTGCACACACACACACATACACACACGTTTTTAAAATAAGAATGCGCCACACTACCCAAAATGATCTACTACAGATTCAGTGCCTTCTATATAAAGATATCAATGATATTCTTCACAAAAGTAGGGAAAAAACGGGCTTAGAATCTGTGATGCTGAATAGCCAATGAAAACTTGAGCCAAAAGAGCAAAGACGTCGGATGCATTTATACTACCTGACTTCAAAACATACAGCTCGGGGCATGGTGGTGCACACCTGGAATCCAAGTACTTAGGAGGCTGAGACAGGGGGATTGTGAGCTTGAAGCTAAGCTGAGATACACAGCAAAGCCCTTCTCAATTAGAATGAGAACAACAAAAAATACTTCAAAATTATAATAACCAAAGCAACACGATACTAGCATAAGAACAGGCACAAAGATCAACAGAGCAGATTAAAGAACTCAGAAATAAACCCTATTTTTACAGCCAACTGATTTTTCTACAAAGGCATTAAGAAAATACATAGAAGAGATTAATACCTTTTCAATAAGTGGTCCTGAGAAAACTGGTATCTACGCACAGGAGAAACTAGACGTACCCTGTCTCTTGCCATTCAAAAAAATCAATTGACAGACTTGAAATTATGAAACTACTAAAAGAAAACATAGGACAGATGTTTATGTTGGCAAGCATTCTTTGTTGTTTTTTAATTGAATTTCTGTCTCATATCACAGTTTGATGGTATTCAGATCCCCTCCCCATCCACACATCCCTGCACTGCCCCCCCCCCCGCCCAGGTTAATGCACTCTCTTATATATAACACAACCTATAGAGTCTGATTTGTGTCCCCAGATGTCCTTCAGTGTGGGTCCATCCACTGGGCCCACCAAGAGTCCTAGCCCCATAAGACACTGTCTTGCTGCCTCTTGTTTTGTTTTGAGACAGGGTCTCTCTTTGTAGCCCAGACTGAAATTCACTGTGTAGGTTAGGGCAGCCTCAAATTAATGATGCTCTGCCTCAGTTTCCTAAGTCCCAGGGTTAAGGCATAAGCCACCAGACACACACACACACACACACACACACACACACACACACACACTCCATTTATTCTATGTGTGTCTACATGAATATATATATTCGCAGGGAAGAGAGAACTTACTTCTGTTTAAAAATATATTTTTATTAATTACTTGAGAATTTCATACATGCACACAATGGTTTTATCATATTCACGTCCACCTCCCCCAATGCCCCAATTCCACTCCCAACTTCATGTCCTCTTACTAGTGTTGATTTTTTTATAACCCACCAAATCCAGTTTGTGCTGCCCATATACTCATGGGTGTGGAGTCATCCACTGAACATGGTAGACCTACCTGGGGCCACACCTTTAAAGAAAACTGGCTTTTCCTCCCCAGAAAGTCAATAACTGCCAATGACTCCTCAGCTACAGTGGGAGCTCCTGAGTCGCTCCGTGCTGGAATGTTGATTGGCTTCATCCTGTGGAGAACTGCTTTCTTTTCTGGGTCTATCCACTTCTCAGTGCTAACTCTCGACATCTCTGGTGAAAACCGGCAGTTCCCTCTCCCAGCTCCAGGTATATAACTCACCAAGACCCTCTCCCACAAGTGCCATGGAAAAGTGTCTGAAATCAGATCACAAGAGTGACTTCCTTCGTTACAAACACTGGCAAAGTGATGTTGTGTCACTTCCCAGGTCTTCATGTGTTATAAATATCCTGTCTCGCCATTGCCCTGGCCTGGTTTATAAGGTTGTCTCTGTGTCACAGAAGCCCTGACTTATACTGAATGCTTCTTCCCACCATATTCAGGATTCTGCACCTCTGGAGGCCCTAGTTCTCCCATTAGGAAGGTGACTTTTAAGGACCCCCATGAGACAAAAGTGAATCCTATAATGCCAGGCTACTGAGGCAGACTGATTAGTGTTCACCAGCATCTGACAAGAGGGTGGGAATTTACTTATCAGGCCTACTTATTTGGTGCCCTCCAAATAACCAGAGTTTGTACTTTCAAATATTTATGGGGGAGTTTCCCCAGGACCAAGAGAGCTAATGGTTAGCCAGTGCTTGGAGCTGCCAGCTTGACCGCTTCCCCCAGGTTTGTTGTCTCTCTGCCTCCTCTGGGCTCACTCCCTGCTGTTCTCACGGAGAAAGATAAGGTTCCAAGAACCAGTCACTTGGTAACTCTTTTTATTGTCTTGGTAGAGTATTTCTGGACATGGACTCCAGGGCCTTGAAGTCAAGTAATACCCAAAGCCTTCCAGAAGCACCATAGCACTTAGTGAAGCGTCTCCTTCTCAGCTGTGCTTTCTCTTAAGGAACGGTCACTTCATTTCATTTAAGTCAGCGTTCTGATGCTGCTGGGCTCAGGAACGTCCACCAAGCTGTTATCCTTCACTGCATCTTGCTAATTATTCCAGGCCAGGGACCATGCAGAGAAGGATGCAGAGGGGTAAAAGATTTACACAAGAAAGAGGACAAGGTTCTTGACCGCTTCAGTCAGCTTAAGGAACAAGATAAGCACATACATAATTCAACCGCCGAGGCCAAAGCGGGTGAGGGCTGTGTGAGAGGGGTACAGGCAGAATCCTGCAGTGTAATGGAAGCAGAGTCCCTGGGTGGGAGGCTAAGGAGGGCTTCCTGGGAGAGGCTCCATCTAAGGTCAATCTTTTTTTCTTTTTTAAAAATATTTTACTTATTATTTTTATTTTATGTGCATGAATATATTGCCTGCGTGTATGTGAGTGCACCCGTGTCCTGCAATGCCGCGGAGGTCAGAAGAGGGCTTCAGATTCCCCTGGAACTGGAGTTAAGGACGGTTTGTAGCCACCATGTGGGTGCTGGGAATCGAAGCCGGGTCCTCTGCAAGAGCAGTCAGTGCTCTTAACCGCTGAGCCATCTCTCCAGCCGCCTAAGGTCAATCTTTAAAAACATTTCTTTTGCATTTATTTATTGTGTGTCTATGATGTATATGTGGGTGGGTGCAGGTGCCACAGCATGTATATGTCGATCAGAAGACAATTTGCAGGAATCTCTTCTCTCCTTCCACCCTGTGTGTTCAGAGGATTGAACCTGGGTCAAGCACCCTTACCTGATGAGCCATCATGCCAGCCCTGAGGTCAGTCTTGTTGGGTGAGGGGATTTCTGCTGCTGAAGGACTGGAGAGGGTGAAGAGGCAGGGGCTGCAGCAGGGATGGCTGAGCCTGCTGGGGGAATCTGCACAGGAGGGTTGTATAGGGGAATAGGGAGAAACATTGGAGGGAACCAGGTGCTTGATGTCAGAGGCCCGGGAGCAGGTGCTGAGAAGGGAGTACTCAGAGTGGACTTGAAGCTGCTGCGGGCTGGATTAGAGGGGATAGCCAGGCTTCTAGAATAAAGGCCACTCATAAAGAACATAAGTACTTCAGGCTATGAGCATGGGGGCTAGCAGTGACGGCACCAAAAGGGAAACATGGATGAAGATTCCAAAACATGAACCAAAGAAGTCAGAGTGTTGGTGAAGACAGAGCTTTACTTCTTGATGAGTGATCAACTGTTGCTTACTGAATCAAGCAAACCCACATCCACCCCATACAGGAACAAGTTTAATTCTGCACTGGCATATTTGTAGGAGAGTAGAGAAGATGATGGGGCCCATGAAAAAATAAGGTTAAAGGGCACTGCCCTCACCCCTCCACACCTGCTAGTCCTGAGGCTCAGTGAATGGTTTGCAGAAGAGAAAATAATGTACAGGTCACTGGGAGCCCAAGACACTAACCACAGCTGTGTCCCATCAGCGCTGGGCAACCAAAAGTACTTGCACCAAACTGAAGTTTGCTTACAAGAAAGGAGGTACATGTGTTCTTGCAAAAACACACCGGCATGCATACACACATTATTTTTTATATTTCGTCTCATCAGGTTGGAGCACAGAGAAGCATAACTTCTAGGTCCATTCTGGATCTTGCTGCAGTCAATTAAAGCCAGCAGTTGAGCTAACACTGCAGCTGGAGAATCCCAAGTTCTCTCTCCTGCAGCTGGCAGAGCAAAGGTCCCAGTTTTCCCTAAACCGCGTACATCAGAGGTTCAGAACCCTCCAACTCTACAGTTGAAAGGGACCATCTCTTTAGAGGCAGTGGGGACCTCGAGAAGTTAGTTTGCTTCTTTACAGCTAAGCACAAGCCTTGTCAGTGTCTGTCTAGGATTCCAGTGAGTTTTCCCCATCAGACCCTCTGCCTATTCCTTACTGGTCCCATGATGCTTGTCAGAGAGTGACCTACACAGACCCTTGGAGCCCGGTGACTCACCTCTGCTGGACTGCTGGGAGCAGGTGAGCAGGTGTGAGAGAAGCTGCCTGCCTCACTTTTTTCATTTGCAGAACCCGCCTCGCTGGAGCCAACAGCCGCTGCATGTTTGGAGTAGCGATCAGAAAGCCAGGAGTCCACAGGCCTTGGGAGAGATGCCCAGCAACTGCAAGCTGGGCTTTATAGGGTCCTGGGACTCCAGCCTCCCGAAGCCCCGCCTCAGCTTTATTTAGGCTCTCCCTGCTTTGGAGTAACTGGGCCAAAGGTCTCAGAACACCAGCAAGGGGAAGAAAAACATATCTGACGTCTCAGCTGTCCTATTCCTGGGTAGGTGGCTGACTCTAAATCTTCCTTTGTCAGGCTCCTGGAAGAGCTTTATTTGTGCCCAGCCATGGAAGGGGAGGGAGCTTCCATGCTCCTTGTAGCACATTCAATAATCACTCCAACTGGTCTCTCCAGGACCCTGACTCTTCATCTGAGTGACACCTCTGTCCATTCCTAATCCCCTCTGCGATACCAGCTGTTTCAAAGCCAACAGTGAAATTGTTTTTCTTGAGACATCTCCTCATGTAGCCCAGGCTGGCCTTGAACTAGCAATCAGTCTTCCTCCCTCAGCCTCCCACAATAATCTTTTAATACCAGCTTTTGAAGCAGTTGAGAGTAGGTGTTCACACATGGATGAGGGGTTGGCCGTGGCTCTCGGGAGCTTGCTGTATTTCTCTTACCTTCATTGTCCACTGTTACTCTTACACAGCTCACACAGCTTCGGGATGCCGCTAGTACTGCAGTAGAGGTTGAGGACTCCTCAAAAGAAAACTGTCTTTTGAAGCTCAGGCTCTCCTGAGGAGAGACTACAAGGAGGAGCTTAGCAAAAAATGGAAAAGAGTGATTCTGACTCCAGATTCTAGTCTTTGCGCTTTGCTCTTCTATTTCTCTTTTTGGTGTGTGTGTGTGTGTGTGTGTGTGTGTGTAGTCATGCTCACTTGCGCAGGTACCTGTGGACATCGATGTTGGTGTCTTCCTCTTTCTTTCACTCTTCACCTTAGTTTTTAAGACAGGATCTCTCACTGAGCCTGGATCTTTCCTATTCTGATAGACTGACTAGCCAAAGAGCCACTGGGATCTGCCTGTCTGCGCCCCTCCAGTGCCGGGGTTACAGATATGCGCCACTGTGCCTGGCTTTTACAAGGGTGCTGGGGTTCTAAGCTCAGGTCCTCAGGCTTACAGAGCACTGAGCCAACTGAGTCATCTCTCCAAAACCTTAATAAAAATGTTCCTGCCGTCTGATGTTTTAAGTGAATCTCTGCCCCACCCATCTCTTCGTCCCCAGCTTCCTCTATCTGAGGATCTTGCATTCACTCAGTACTTTGTGCAGTTAACCCTTCTGTTTAATGGGACTCTGAGAAGGACTCAAGGGGCCAGGATGGTTCCTGCAGTAGTAGACAGTGTTGACTTCATTTTCCAGAAGCCAGGGAATCTCTAGATAGCCTTCTGCAAAGTTCTGTCACCAAGAGAATTCTTTATTGTGAACACTTCTATGAATTGCCCATTGTTTATTGTCTGGGCACTGGAATTCCCCCAACTCTTTCAAATGTGGTTTTGATCTTTTTCTCCCCTCAGCTCCACCCTCTGGCCACCCACATCCAACTCTTTAGTACTTGGAATAAGTCCTCTTCGCTCTTTATTGCGATTTCAGAGCATTTTCACTCCCCATCCTCCCAGAATCCCCTACTGTCAAGCCAGGTGTGGTGGTGCACGCCTGTAATCCCAACGCTTGGACAGAGGAGGCAAAGGACTGAGAGTTCAAGGTTATTCATCCTCAGGTTTATGTAAGTTTGAGGGCAGCCTACACTACCCCAGACCCTGACTCCAAACAAATAAACAAAAACCTGTGGCCTTAAAGGACAGACCATCAGTGTGGGCCACCCAATGCACCTTTTTTCTTGTGGTCCTCTAAAAGCCTTGCTCCACTTCCCCTCAGACACATTTACTCACATGGACTACAACCTCTCTCCATCATCAGTCCTATCCACATACTTGTGGACATCAATCTCCACACAAGATAACTCAGCCACCCGGCGTCCTGGTGAAGTAATCACTTCGTGTTCCTGCTCTCCACTCGACTTACAGCATCTGGGCTCGGTCATACTCTTGACCTTGCTCAGACTTTTGCAAACTGAACCTAACAACAGTACCAACCTCAGATAGTTATGAAAATTAACTGAGGTAATGCTCACAAAGTGCTTAACACAGTAGCTGGCAAACAGCAACGGCTTCCTATATGCTTAAAAGAGGGAAGAGAGTGGAGTTGATTCATCTTTTGAAATCCCTAATCCTTACTGAGGAAGGATCGAAAGACAATGAAAATCATGGAGGCATGGGAAGGGAAAGGGGCTCCTCGCCTCCAGTCTGGCTAAAGCCTCTCACAGGCTGAGAAGCAAGAATCCAACACAACATTTGCTGTGAAGGTTGATGCTGTAGAGACAATATTTCTTTTATAGGGAGATATGTTATATTAAAATAACAGAGAACCACCTGAAGTAAGGCCTGACCGTACACAACTGAGAGAAGGGCCTCATTTCTTTTCCAAGACATTTTCTGGGACTCACAAACAAGACTGTTATAAACTTTGTACACAGTAGATGTCACCTACCTTCCTACATCCCAGTGATCTACACTGTAATCCTGTCAGCTGCCCCCTCAGACCTGTGATCGAATTTAGGTTCTTTAGCAACTCTTTGAAGATAATAGCTTCAAGCCTCACCAAAATGGTATACAAGGCTGTTGTAAAGCCAGTGAAGTGGGGTTTTCTCTCAGAGACACCCACACCCATGCCCTCGGGTGTGTCTTTCTTGCCAAGTATCTTCTTTCTTTTAACCCTTGTGTCTAAAATCTACATTAAAAATATCTTAAAATTTTGTGTGTGTGGTATGTGAGTGTATGTGTGTAACTGTGTGTAGGGGTGTATGTGGAGGCCAGAGGTTGATGCAGAGTCTTCTCCAATCATTCTGTCATTCTTCCCACTTTTTTTATCTTTTGAGATAGCTCTCCCTGTAGCCCCAGAAGACTCGCATACTAAAAATTACTACTGGGAGGTGCATGCATCTTCCAGTTCCTTCCTCCCACCATCCTTAGGACAACCTGGGGCAAGAATTCTCCAAAACCCGTTGTTTGGAAAACTCTTAACGAGTTTATTGGGTTTGCTAACAGAGCATAGGGTGAGGGTTTGGCCCCTCCCCCTCATGTAGCTGAAGTCAGCTGATTGGTAACTGATACCCTTTGACTCCTTGACTATCATGGGAAGAAGGTGTGACTATAGCTTGCTGGCATAGTGGTTGGAGGACACTTTGAGGTAATAACTTGGAACTCACTTTATAGAGCAGGCTAGCCTCAATCTCACAGAGATCTGCCTGCCTCTGCCTCCCAAGTGCTGGGATTAAAGGCATGTGTCACCACACCCAGCTACTCCACCTTACTTTTTTGAATCAGGGTTTCTCACTGAATCTGGAGCACACTGATTTGTCTAGACCTATAACCAGCAAGTCCCACGGATCTTCCTACCTCTTCATCCCCAGCACTGGGATTACAGACATTGCCACCACACCCAGCTTTTTATGTGGCTGCTGGGGATCCAGACTTACTCAGCAAGCACTTTACTGACTGAACCGTCTCCCCAGCCACTTCCCCCGACAACTGTCTTTTAATAACCTGAACTCTGCCTCCTCCTGACTTTCCTTGACATTCTTTCTATGTTGAAGCCAAGGATTACCTGAGGCAAGGTTCCTAAAGGGTTAAAAGGACTCCAGGTTCCTGAAGGCAACAACCTGGAACTGTGTCTATGTCTCTGTTGTAGGGACACTTATCAGAATTCCCAATTTATTATGTATACAAGGTAAAGTTGGTATTAGATTGGATGTTTCTGGTTTTATCAAATCAACACATTATATTTCTCTAATCTTGTGTATTTATGTAAAAGCCTAATGGTCCTATTCAGCTCCATCAATCTTAGTGACATCAAGAGTATGTGAGGACTACTTCGTTTACTCCAAAAGTTAGAGGTTAGAGAGTGAGACACAAACAGAGGAAGACCATGGAACTGTCTGGTTTTAGAGGCTGAGTGTGAAAAGAACCTTGAGAAGGAGAGAGAACAGCCCTGCCATTTGCTCCCATGAGGTCTGGGTACTGGAGGACCAGGACTTGCCATTGGATTTGGCAATAAGGAAATCTCTGGTGACCTTGATAGGAGAGATTTCAATGAAGCACTGGGGACAAAAGACTAAAGAGAGAATGGGGGAGTGAAATACCAACAACAGACAGTTTGCTACAGAGGAGAAGATTAATTACGTGGCATTAATCAGTACATATAGAGGATAAAAAGTTCTAGAAGACGGGATTGTACAAGAACAGTAAGAGAATAACCCAAGAGAAAGGGGAACCTGGGCATGAGGAAGAGAGGATTGCTGCAGGAGGGTGGCCCTTGTGTGGAAAAGAAGCGCCAGTGGTGACTCTGGGCATGAGCCCAAGCAGGCGCTGTTCCTCTTTCTAGTGAAAACAAGAATTCAGAGCCTGGGCAGAAGGGCGGGCACTTGGCTGAATTTTCTAGGGGAACATGGAGCAAACCTTTTCAGACTATTATTGTGCCCTCGGGGAAACTAGACTCAAAGTGTTTACTGAGATTAAGAATTTGTAAAGCTAATGGGGGTAACCGTGGGGATCCTCTTTGAGACCAAAGAGCCCCTATCTCCCTCTCTGTCCTTCCCTCTGTCCTTCCCTTTCTGTTTTCTCTCTCTCTCTCTCTCTCTCTCTCTGAAACCAGGCCACAAGTCTCCTGCAGGTCAGGTTTCTACCTCCTGCAAAAGTAACTGGAGTTCATAAACAAATGTTTTTCCTTACCTCTGCCCCTTCAACAAACAACTCTGATGCCTACCCAGGACCGGAAACTGGCTTTGAGCTATGGCCAGGTGCCCATCTCCTTGTGAATACATAAAAGTAAAGGATTTCTGACTCTGGCTCTGACTCTGGCTCTAACTCTGGCTCCGGCGTTCTCTCTCTCTCTCTCTCTCTCTCTCTCTCTCTCTGGCTCTGGCATTCTCTCTCTCTCTCTCTCTCTGGCTCTGGTGTTCTCTCTCTCTCTCTCTCTCTCTCTTTCTCTCAGTTTCCC